GAGGTACATGAAAGATGCAGCTCCAGGCGTGACATTTACTTGTGGAGGAGACATCGTATGGTTGAAAACTGAAACGTTGATTCTTTTATTGTTTCATTTATATGCTTATTTCGTGTTTCTCTTTAATTTTGTTCCTGCTTTTTGAACACGCAGCGCATCTACTGCGTCAACACATTCCGATATCTGCAGTACATTCCAGGAAGCCAACAATAGTTGCAATACACCGCTGAGTAAGGTCAAATTTCAACAACCTTGTCTCTTTTTTTTCTTTTTGTTTCTTCTTTTCTTATTTACAATGAGCTGTCGCCACGTTGTACCAAGCAGGTGGGATTTAATACAATGCAGTGAAAAACTATAGGAGTGCATATATGTTGCACATACTGTGGTCGTCCAATAAATTCATATAGAATGCATGGTGAGCCATAGGACACTTCATCGAAGTTTTTCTCTCTTTTTTTTTGCGGGGGTCGCAAACCAGGGTTGAAGCCAAACTAAGTAACTACATATACAATGGAAAGAAGAAATATGGGAACATTGCCAACGAAAAGCAAGAGTCACACTAGTAAATATACTTCTTCAACTTTGTCAGCGTAATTAAACTACATGGCGAATTATAACTGGCCCAGAGTATATAGTGACATCACTTTATTATTACTTTTAAAAAAGAGTGGCATATTTTTGATATTCCATCAACAAAAGTTTGTCATTCGCGAACCAACACATGCACACTGCAGTGTATTCACATCACGTATATGCATTGAAATCTGGTATTTGTGTGTGTGTGTGTGTGTGCGTGTGTGTGTGTGTGTGTGTGTGTGTGTGTTGCGCCGTCTGCCTCGTTTCTATGCCTGATGTCTAGCAGTCAATGTGTTGTGTCTTTATTATTTTTTTTTAATTTTCCTGGTCAATTTTTTGTGTGTCGTGAGAAACGCGGACGTTGTATATACTTTGCCCTAAATTGTGAACGTAGTGAGTAATGTTTTCTTATTTTTTAATGACTCGCTATTAATTGGCTGCATCAGCCAAATTACCCGGCCGCAAAAGCGATTCATTGCGTAAGCCCCGGAGGCAAGAAGCGATCTAATTACTGCGACTTCACTGCTGCTGAGTTTGTTACAGGCACTGCACGGTATTGGCCAAATGCCGCAGCAGCAAAAAAAAAAACACAACAGTGGCCAGTAATGGAAAATGAAATATATATAGAACATTTCAGAACGCCGCCACGGGCTCTCGCAAAACAAATTAGAAAGAGTAAAAAAGAGTTTGAGTGACGAAACGATGTCGCTGAAATCAGAATCAAGTTTTAGAACTGAAAAAAGAAATCAAGGAAAAAAAATCGCCTCTAGAATATAGCTCAAATGCGCCTGTTGGGTTGGATTATCTTGAAAGTCGGGCAGCCCATATGTGCAAGAAAGCAAAGTACGAAAGGGAGAAGTTGAACAAATTGTGCTCATCAACTTCTATCATTTGTCATTTGCGCGTTCTTTGTGCGAATCTACCATAGGAAAATTTATGCGGATTTGTTCCAGAAAGAACGCTTCGTAGCTGACGGAAAATGAATTATTATATGTGGGGTTTGACGTCCCAAAATCACCATATGATTATGAGAGACGCCGTATAGTGTAGCGCTCCGGAAATTTCGACCACCTGGGGTTCCTTAACGTGCACCCAAATCTGAGAACACGGGCCTACAGCATTTCCGCCTCCATCGGAAATGCAGCCGCCGCAGCCGGGATTCGATCGCGTGACCTGTGGGTCAGTGACGGAAAAGTAATCTTGGTCTGATATTGAAACTGAGAAGCAACACTTTTCTAAATTTTGTGACAGCAATAATTTGGGATTCTTTACGCACTTCGTATTCTCAATCTGAAAAAAAAAAACAAAAAACGCCATCTAACGTATCCGAGTGCTAACATATATAACGGAGGGGATCTACATGTCGTGCGGCACCTATATAAAAATGACTCCTTTGCGATCGTCTTGAATGTGTACAACGGACCCGTATACTGGCCCATAAACGTCGAAATTATCATGGCGCAAATCTCAGATGCGTCACAAAAAGCGGTAAAAAAAAAAGCCGTCTAATACCTGATTCACGAACGCGCGGCCCGCATATCACCATCCTCGTTTGTTTGTTTTTCTTTTTTATGCACGTGCATGAGCTGCACAGGCATGACTAACCTTATTGGAGGCATACCCCGCGACCTCTGTGTATTCATACACAACCGAGAAACAAAATTCAGAATCGGCGTTCAGATTTTACTCCTCTTGAATGTCGAGATCGATATCGTGGTCAACTCCCCCGTAGAAATGACTCATATATGACATATTGAAAAGATCGCTCTAATGGCGACGTTACCTGACATTCTGTACAAGTTACACCACCACCCTCCTCTCTCTATCTTTATTCACTGTGATCTCAGTTGCTCTCTTGCAGGGGTAAATTTACATGACTGGGGCCCTAAAGCTGACGTGAGTTTCAGATTCCTGGTGCGAGACGTCGGTGTCAATAGGATATCCAATATTGGTACAAAGCGCCTCGCAGATGACGTCGTGAAGACTATTGCTCGCGATGTGTTCCAACACTCGCTGTAGATGGCTAAATAGACAGCTAACTGGACGGCGGCCATCTTAAGTACCATTCCAATTCGAAAAGACCATCGCAGACAAAAACGATGCAGGCTACTTTGCTGTACAAACAAGCTCAGCGAACTGCTCGGATGGCTGTATCTCACCGAAGTGGTCGTTTGCACACAAGCAGGCGTTTTTCCAGACGCTCAATGCGAGGAATGTTCAAATTTTCATAGCTTTGAACACTAAATAAGCTCAAAGAAAGCGCAAAAGTTACGTTTGTTTATCTTTTAGGTTTCTCTTCTCGATGCGAGATGGCGTCCCACTCGCGTAGAAGCCATCCATACCAAGGACGTTTTAAAAAAAAATAAACCTCCTTGAGAAAGTGAGATCGATACATTCTGCTGATAAAAAAAGAGCTTGCCATTCATCTTCCAGCCTCTTAGGTGAATGCATTAGAGACATTCTGACTTTTCTGACGTGTCAACGTTGGTCGTTGATCTTGGACGTACAGTCTTTACACATCCACTAGTCACCTTATTGCTTATACTTTTTTTTTATCATAGAGCGAGGACTTTCCAGAAGGCCAACAATCGTGCGTTGAAAGAGAAGCCGATCGGATGGGGGAGGCCGCGACGGGAACACCTGCGATGGCCGACAGTTGTCCGTGGCCGTGACAGATGTCCGTGGCGTCAGTACACCTTCATTGAAGGAAGTTCAGCCCCGCCTTTGTTTTTTTACGAAATATGTTGCTGACGAATGTTGGATATCCTGCATGCCTCATCGATTAACGATGTATGCCACGTGGTTCGAAGTACTGCGGGAATGACCTTTGAGGGAGGCTCTTAATAATGTTATCTGGAGCATACGTCCCAAAACCACCATATGATTATGAGAGACGCCGTAGTGAAGGGCTCTGGAAATTTCGACCACCCGAGGTTCTTCAACTACTGCAACATTTCGCTTCCGCTCAAATACGATCGCCGCAGCCGACATCGAACCCGCGACTTCCAGGCCGGCAGCAGAGGTGGACGTTTAGGGAGGCTCTTACAAATAGCGCGCACGTGGGTATTGCTGACATGTAGGCGTTGGCGCAACGGTAATTAAAATACGTACATTTTATACTATGCACACTAGTTCACCCTTGATTGATTAATTGATCGATCGCAGAGGCATGAGTTGCAAGGAGGGGGGGGGGTAGGTAGAAGACTGGGGTGAAACTATGCGCGGTCGTGCGCGCGGACTTGCTGCCCCAAGTTGACCTCCCGTGTACGGCTATAGGCGGTACTCCGATGCTTGTGCTTGAAGTGTGCGCACGACGGAAAACCGCGCTTATTTTAAATTATTATTCACGGCTTCTGTTATGAAGTTCGTGCACGCGCTGCTGGTGGACGTCCTACCTTATCGATGACTCTACAGCCTCTTCGCTCGAGCAAATTTTTTTTTTCATCGCGAGACAGCCGAGGATGAAAGACCGAGAAACAGTCGTGTACAAACGAGCGCCACGTGCTTGAAATGCTGCGTGTTTCTCGGTCTTTCGTCCTCGTACGCTTCGCGGAGAAAAAGAAAAAACTGCTCAAGATCGCGAGCCAACCGGCTCGCACTAAAGACCTCTTCTCTCATCTCTCTGTACGTCTAACCTGTATAGTGCCCCCACCACGTCCTCTCTTTCCCAGCATTTTCGCTAGCCTTTTCATTCCGCGGTTGAAGCATTGCCCACATTTTATACAGCCAAAACAGTCGTTCAGGAAAGCTAACGTACAGCCATTTTACAGCCGAGAATACGGTAGTTAAAGGCATCCCACGATATTAGTGAAAGTAGGGGGGGGGGGCATGGACAGTAATAATAATAATAATAATAATAATAATAATAATAATAATAATAATAATAAAGAATAATAATAATACACTAAAGTGACTTATAAGTCTCTGAAGTATGAGTAAACCGCAGAGTTGGTCGGCAAGCGCCACGTCGTAGAGAACGCACATTTCTTCACATCTTTTTTTTTCTTTCTATCTACTTTTTATTGCTATCTCTGTACATTTTCTTTCTTTCCTTTTTTGTTTAATTTTCTACTGCACTCTTTCCTCTTTCGCTCAGTTCTTTTTCCCGACGCTTGCTGTGCGATACTGCACATGGTTATGTAATCGTTTACCGCCTCACCATTACACCTCTCCCTACTTCTCAACCCCCTCCCCCCCGCGCGCTATATTATACTGTGCATGGCTAAGCAATGCTATAGGAGCTGCCGTGTGCGTACCCGTTATCTGTATCACTACCCGCCGAGTTGGCTGTCTACGACACCGGCCTCATTCATGGCTTAAACATCACCGCTGCATAAAGGACTTCGCTGTGACACAACACCGCTTGCAACGGGCCGGAAGCTGATTACCACGCTACTTGACTGGCAGAGTGAAATGTAACTCACGTGTTGCAGGTTCGCTGTTCTAGCAGGCACGACAGCCGGCGAGCGAGCTTTCAGCGGTTGTAGTGCCGGCAGCAGATGACGCAATGAAAGAACAAAGCTGTATTTCACCGACCGCCGCGCACACACAATGTATTCTCTGGACGACGCGAACGTAGTACACGAACGACAAATGCGAGGTCGGCGTCGCTCCTGCTTCGACGACGGCGGATGGTAGCAGCTGTGCGCCCTTTCCGCAGCTACACGGCGTCGATGACGTCAGAGACGAGCCCCTGCGGTGCGCCGGTGCACCTCGTGCTCCACGTGCGAGCCGCCGCCTACGTCAGCCACGTTTGACGGGGGGGAAAAAACGCGCGGGTTGAGCTACTGTAGTAGACGTAACGCGTGGTGGCGTGGTTCCCTTCCTCTCTCTCCTGGAACAAGTTGACCAGACGCGATCTTTTCACTTTCGTTCGACGCGGCTCCGCTTTCCTGCGCAGACGATCCGGCGTTCTTTCTCTCGGAACGGCGTGTACAGGTTACCTCGAACTTCGAGGACGCAAAGAGCGTGATCGGCCGCTGCTTTCCAGGACCTTGGAGACGGAAGCGGGGAAGTGTTGCGATCGACTTCATCGTAAACAAGGTCTCCTGATCGATGACGTGACGGGTACACGTGCAAAGTGGTACCTACGCCGTTTGTGAAAGTTTGTTTTCACAAACGGTGGAACGGTGGCTAGGGTGCACGGCTGCTGACCAGATAGATGGTCGCGGGTTCGATTACGGTCGCGGCTTTCGCATTTCTACGGAGGCGAAGTGGTACAGGCCCGTGCACCGCGCCATGTCAGTGCACGTCAAAGAACACCAGATGGACAGAATTTCCGGAGCCCTCCGCTACGGCGTCTCTCATACTGATATCGGGATTCTTGGGATGTAAAACTCTCCATATTATTATTAGTTTGTACTGACTAAGTACTACCATAATACTAGATAACACGCACGTATACGCTACGAGAACCGAGCGTTGGGCGAGTTGGTATTCTATTGTGGATGACATTTTGCTCAAAGAGAGAGAGCATAGACAGTTGCAGTCTGTGCTCTCTTCCTTTTTCTACGTTTTCTTCGTTTTGTTTTTTTGCGCAATATACCACCAACAAAGACACAGCACGACCGCTAGACTTCAACTGTTGATGTGGGTTAAAAACGGTTGGTGTCTAGCGCTTGTCCCGTGTCTTCAAGTGTAATCTTTGTGCGTGTTCGCTAGTATTATGGAAGCATCCAGTCTAGAGCTAGAGCGCCGCAATCATGCAATTTATTCCCGGGAAGGTCTGGATAAAAAAATGTTGAAGTGGTGGCGAAAGGCGGGCAAGCAAATGTCACTTAACTTTGTCCTTTGATGATTTTGTGGAAGGCCTCTCCCGTCTCTCATATGTGGTTTCGTTCTGTGACGTCTGCTTTCGAAAAAACGCGTCGGTGTTCGGTCTGTAGAATGAACGCAATCCGGGCCCCGATTTTGAAGTTTAGCGCTCTTGACCCACGGTCAAGTTTGAACGCATAGTGATCGCAAGGGGTGCCTCGCGAACACACATGCTGCAGACTGGACACGTCTGTATAGCTAATACAAACAGTGTTTGTAATCCTAACAGGCGAGAAGAGAAGGAGATAAGGGTCATGTGAACGGCAGAGAGGTTAACTAGAAAGAGGATCTTCTGTTGGAAACCCAGCACAGGGGAAGAAGGTTGAGGGGTAAGGAAGGAAAAAAAAGCAAGCAGCGATAAAGAATATTAAAAAAATAGGAAAGAAACTACACGTACATGCACTCAAGTACTACAGTGCCATATTTAGCGAGGCCGTCTGACCGCAGAAACTTCAGAAGTGCCTTCGTCTCTTTGTGGTCGGAAGCTCGAACGTTCAGGACTCGAAAATTGATTGTTTGGAAAGCGGGTAATAATAGAGGCGTGCTAACGTTGCTGACAGCTGATGTCTCTGGGAGCCGTATAGTGCGGACGATGACGCGGGACGTGCGAGGTGCTTTCCTCGTTGCCGCAGTGAACAAGATCGCACGCAGCACTGTCTGCCATTCCGATTTGGTACGCAGAGCTGTTCGGGAATTACACTCCGAGCCATAGGCGGCAACAGGAACGTTGCTTCGGAACGGAATGGTCCTGAAGGAACTTGAAGTCCCAAGACAACGTCACCACCTGTATTTCCTTTTTGCGCGTTTTCTCGCTTACCTATAAGCGTGTTGCTTTCGGTATTATTAAATTCCCGAGAACAATCGCTTTGCTTCTTAACGTTCGTTTAAGTCAGGTATACGATTCCTAATCGGTCAGCAAAACTTAGGGCAAGCCTTCTATAGCAGAATAAAACGAAAAACATGTCAACCAACTGAGACACCGGTGAGCAAAGTCGCGTGTGACTCCGTGGTGTGCTACGCCTGTGCACGCAACTCGCTTGTGCTATAGTTCTGCCATCCTGCGGCCAAACGTGGGCGAGATACATGGCGCATTAGACAGATTAAACCTTCTACAGCAAGGAGAAGTTTATTGACTTCCAACCAAGGATAAAGTACATGACAAAAACATCGAGCTTCACGACTACAAAAGGTGCATGTACAATCAGGAAAGCACCACTACCGAGGTACAATGTATGTGGGGGAACGTACCCGTCTATTTACTGTACAGCGCGTGGTGCTCCAGTAGGCTTAATCATGCACGGGGGTAGGTCTTCTCAACAGAGTCGATATGTATTTGGCTTAACCTCGTTTTGCAGCGTATGACTGCATTCGGTCACTTACTACGAGGTCCAACGGGTCGCCCGACGTGCAGAGTTCCAGGGCAAAACGTCAGAAATAGTAAATTTCGTTTCTCGAAATGAATGCAACCGAAATTTAATTGTGCACATATTTGGAGCCTGTAACTTCATTCTTTTAATGCCAAAAATGAACATGACTGACGACAGGATAATGAAATATTGAATAATACGCTGACTACAAATAATTGCTCTAACCCATACGAACCAGCTTGCATTATCTCATTCTCCTTGTTGAAATGTAATCACGACTGCTTTGAAATTATGGAGCGAGTAACTTGAAAAAAAAATTGTCGACAGTGTATTATAATTAGCGCCTGAAGGGCCGGTAAAAGCGTAAACAATTAAACCACGCAGGCGTGGTGGTGCGATTGGGTTTCCAAGAACATTTCGTCATTGTTGTGTACCACAAATCTCCGGGTATTCGCGTGGCGTGCACGGTCGTGACGTCAGTAATCCCCCCCCCCCACCACCACCACCACCACAAAACGCTGTGCTTCCTTCTCACCACTTCATCACGTAATGACCATCACGTTCTCTCATGGGACAACCTTGCTGTAACGCTTGTTTCCACGCTCCGGCACCCGCCAGCTCGTTCCTCCAATAAGGGTGGATGTATGTGCTCATGGGCTTGCTAGTAGTGGGACGTGGACGCAAGGCGCGCAGTTCTTGTGCACGTCTTGTGGCAGAACGTACATTCGCGTTGCTTCGCAAATAGTACGGCAGCTTTCGGTTGCCTTCGATTTTCCTCGCTCGCATTGTTATCGCGTTTCGAGAGTTATATGCGTAAAAACGTGAACGGAAGAATTATTTCTTTGGTTTAAAGGGGCCCTGAAACACTTTTAAGGGCGAAGCTCCTTAGGTTGTGGGTCTGTCCATCCTCCGATGGTGCATGTAGCCACTGGTGGCACATACACGAAAGAGCGGTTCTTAGAATGTCCGCTGGATGGTGGCACTTGTATATGATGAATACATGATGAAAAGATGCGAGATGGACGGTGTCTGGAGCGCTCACTAGATAGACGGATGAACGGATGGACATACAGATAGACGGACGGACTGATGGACGCACAGACAGAGGGGCAGACGCACTAACGGACGGACGGACATACAGTAGGACGGCCGCACGAACAGATGCATGGACGGACGGAAGAACGGACGTACGGACGGACGCATGAAGAGACGCACGAAAGGACGGATGCACCGACAGTCACATGGATGCACGGACGCACGGATGGATGGAAGCAAGAACGAATGGGCGGACGAAAGCACGAACGGACTGACGAACGCTTCGCCCCACCAATCATTATTCACTCCGTGGATATGCTGCGATTTTTTTTTTTTTTGAGTAACCATGCCCTGCCGTGGTGGTCTAGTGGCTAAGGTACTCGGCTGCTGACCCGCCGGTCGCGGGATCGAATCCCGGCTGCGGCGGCTGCATTTCCGATGGAGGCGGAAATGTTGTAGGCCCGTGTGCTCAGATTCGGGCGCACGTTAAAGAACCCCAGAGGGTCGAAATTTCCGGAGCCCTCCACTATGGCGTCGCTCATAATCATATCGTGGTTTTGTGACGTTAAACCTCACAAATCAATCAATATTTTTAGTAACCATGAAATTAATTCACTGGAAAAGCGTACTGATTCACAAATTCAACGTTGCAAAAATTTTAAAAATCCGTCCAGTACGAGTGGAGTTACAAAGATTCGCCACACATTCTCTCATCGCATTCTCTCTTCCCTCGTCATCATGTCAGCCCCACCTTACGAACGCCCACTATGCCTTACGCAGATATTACGCAGACATACGCAGATATTTTATCGGTTTTGCCATGCTGGTTTGCGATTTGGCCTTATCGTTTGTGCCACGAAACTGTTTCATCTGTGGGTATATACTCCGCAGCTTTCCGCATAAACTTCCGGTTGGTAGTAAGCGCTTGTCCCTGGCTGTCCTGTCCGCGTCTACGTATACTGCGCTCTTATTTCAAACAATCTAACAGCTTCTACAATCTTGTCTGCGTTTGTAGAGGATCCAGTTTCGTTTGCAGCGCGAGCCCACGAGTCGCCCAAAGTGCCATATCACCGGGCCCATCATTTGACGGGTACGTAGTTCAACTCGCACCTAGTCTAAACGCGCTCAATCAAGGCCGCATTACAAGCTGTTTATGTTGGGCGAGGGCACCGCATCGGTTGCAACCAGGTTGCTAGGCTCTGCACTCTCTTGCGAATGCTTAGGATTTCGCTTTCAAGCATTTCAAATACTGAGTGATCATTGTACTGTGAAGTGTCTTTGAAGTTCTAGAGAGGATAATTATTTTCCGATGTATTGCCAATATATCTGAATACATTGATGACTACCTGGGATGGGGTATCTTGAGTACAGCGCTTAAAAATTGCCGTGGTATTCTAGCGAGATCTGCGACTGTATACCCATTACTATACGGTTCCCAGGTCCTG